GATCTTAAAGGTCTTTTCCAACCTAAACGATTCTATGATTCTATCAAAAGCTAATGTCCCGGGGTGGGGGACACTGCCGTGCTGTCCCATGGTCATCCTGGCTTCAGGCTCTCCTCCCTTTCATCCACCACCCAAACCTGCCACAGGGCTGTAAGAGTAATATTTATTTTTAATTCTCTGATACTCCTGTAATAAAAATCATTACTGTGTCGGCGATACTGCGCTTGATTTAGAACATCGATTGTTAATTCTGGCAGTTCTCCTACCAGCAGAGATTTTTAAATAGCAGGAGCCGGATGACTCTTTAGCAGAATAGCTCCCGGGGGACAGGGATTGGTTTTATTGACTGAGCCTCCTTGCCTGTGGGTACCAGCAAAGCTGCGCTGGCTCTTTTTTCTATAATTGTGAAGTTAACTAGCTTCTGCCATGCTGTCAAGTAGATATGCCTACATCAAAAATTATTGCACTTGCCTGCTGTGAGGTTTGCAATGTGCCTTATTAAATGTTTTCAGCTGCTGCTAAACATTAAGGTAACTGATAATTTACCGGGCATCGAGGATCTTCTGCATTTTCAAAGAAAAAGCTGCCTTTATTTGGCATTTCTACAGTTGTTGAATTTGGTGTAACTTTTATCCAGTGTGAAACTTTTCAAGTGAACCATAAAGCTAAAACAGATCTTGCATAAATAGGAAGGAGAGCTGCTGAGGTGGGAGTGTATTATCAAATAATGCTATGTATGATTATTTTAAAATATGCTGGTTCCATCACGATCACTTTAGTAGAAGGATCCAAGTGACTTATTTAGCCAGAGCAAAGTCAGTCACTTTTTCAGTCAGAGCAACCGTTATGGATAGGTCAGTGTGGATTGGGAGCGAAGGGCTGCCCTGCATTTCTCCTTCAGGGGAAAAAGAAGGAAAAGAGCCATTTTATGCCCATCAGAGGGGGGAGCAGAGGGGAGCTGCTGGCTGCCTTGCTTCATAATCATCCTCTTGTTCCTCTCCAGCTGCCAAACTCCTGGCAGGGCTTTGTAATAGCTGCAGTGAGTCATGGGTTCCTGAGCGTGTTGCAAACGGAGGGCGTGGAGCACGCAGAATTCATCCCGCTCAGCTCCGTGCGTGCAGTGCCAAGGGTGCTGGAAACACCTGGCTGGGAGGGCTCGGCTCTGCACCAAGGTGTGTGGTGGGTGCTGCTGCCCAAAATCGCACACCGGTGCAGGACTCCAGCTCAGTTTTCTGTGTTTCCTAGCCTCCTTCAGACCCGAGGTGCAAGGCAAGGGAGCACGTTGCACGCATCCTGCCCCAGCAAGCTTGGAGCAGGGACTGCAGCTGCTGGCAGGATTCATCTTTCAGCTGGTTTCAGCCTGGATCCTTCCCTTGACCTGATCAGACACAGCTCCTGGTAAAAAGCAACGCGCTTCAACTACTGGCAAGTGATGAATGTGTAAAATTACCCCGGGTTTAGATAAGATGGGAGCTTGATTTTTCTTTCAAGAGTGCATCAAGCTGACAGTGCAAGCTTTTTTCCTTTTTACCTAAGGGTAAACTGCCAGAATTTGTCCTCATTAAGAGGATAAGTGTACTGAACACAGCTCCATTCATTTCAAAGGCTGTCTGGTAGGCAAGAGCCAGACCAATTCCTTTTTGATATCCTAAAAGCTAAATACAAGGTTGGATTATGTTGCATCCTTTTTTTTTTTCTTCTTTCTTTCTCTTTTTTTTCTTCCTCTGGTAGAAGTGGCTGTAACCCAGATGCACAATCCCTTCTTATTGAGCTTTTGATTCAGGGAATGGATGCCTGAACTGTTTGGCTTCCTGTTTGTTCATCCCAAGTATTTGCCCTGCCAGGGCCAGCCCTGTCCTGGATGGCTCCTGGGCAGTCTGCTCTCTTCTCGGGAGACAGGTAATTCCAGAGTGCTCATATTTTGTAATTTAACTTGGAGCAGGTGCTTCAAATCCAGGAGGTTACCTGATAATGGAACTTTTCGCGGCTTTGTTATAAAATACAACAATCCCCATGGCACACAGCACTTTGCTACCACTTTACAGGGCTGTCGTGGCATTTGGGGGGAAAATAGGGAGAAAAGTTGGTGATGATTTTCTGCATTCTCCTCCCCTTGCATTGCATCGCTCACCTCTCACGGTCGTTCTCCCCGTGCTTCCCCCACAGCCTGGCGAGGGTGGGTGAGTTCATCCCCGCAGGGGTGCGAGTGGCTGCTCCTTGGGGCACTGGGGCTCAGTACTGCGGGAAGCCGCCGCCTTCCTCGGCCTCATCGCCCCCTGCTAAACCTCCATCAGCAACATCTGCCAAGCTGACACCGTTGCATGAAGCAGAAAGTGCATAGCATAGGGCAGAGAGGATCATTTTCTTCATGGAAAGGGTGGTCAAGCATTGGAACAGGCTGCCCAGAGAGGTGGTGGAGTCCCCATCCCTGGAAGCGTTCAAAAAACAGGCAGAGGTGGCACTTTGGGACATGGTTTAGTCTAGTCTACCCTTAATTGGTTTAGTGTGGACTTGGTAGTGTAGGTTAATGGTTGGATTGGATGATCTTAAAGGTCTTTTCCAACCTAAACGAGTCTATGATTCTATTTTGAGCTTGAGAAGGAAAGTCCTGCCTTTGATTTGAAATAAAACATTCAGGCTGAGAATATTAGGGTAGCCTTGTTAGCCACCTACAACTCAAACTGCGATTTAAATTCAATTTATTCTAGAGTTGTAATGATTTTGATCTGTAGTTCGCATCAGAGCAGGTGAGCTCTTGCTACCCAGCGACTTTCTGGCGACACGTCTCCACTGCTTCGCAGCCATATGTGTCAGCAGGCGAGCACAAGGTCCCTTGAGACTTCCAGACTGATTTTTAGCAGAGCCAGGTGGTTCAAACAGGCACTCGAAAGTGGGAACGTTGGGTTTTTTTCCGGTTCTTCCATAGGAATTAGTACTTCAGTGCAACAGAAATGCCCAAGCAATGGTAAGCCACTGCTTTTCAAAGCAGGAGCCCTTGCTCCTCCGGTATTATTCTATTACGACGACTTTATTTCTCTGCGAGCAAGTGCCTGCTGTAAGTGTAATGGTGTTGTGTGATGGATGCTGGCTGAGTACAACAGTGACAGATGCATGCTGAAACTGTGTGAAAATTTTTGCAGCCAAAGCAAAACTGGCAAATGTTTGGCTTTCCGCCAGCTTAGCTCGCGGGTGCGCAGTATCTGATGGTTTAACTGCACTGTTTACAGCACTGAAAAGCAGTTCTAGGCATGGTTCTTGTCAGCAGTGGAGAGCAGATAACATCTCTTATTTTGTTGACCTATGCCACCCCTCAAGTCTTAGAAACCCTCTTTTATTTTTTTTTTTTCCCCCCACTCTGCCCTCATCATACTTTTATCAAATACTTGAGCAGGGTGGAAAAGCCCTCTGCTTTGATTCCCTTGAGCACAGCTGCATAAAGTAGTGGGTACTTTAATCCTGAAACTTTATTTTTTGACATAAATAGCGAGAAGTCACCTCTTGTATCTTCCCATCCCCTCTCCAGAAATGCTTTTTTTTTTCCTCCATGAGCATCTCTTGCAGCATAGGACAGCTATCGAGCATGACTCTGAAAATCATATTGTAAAGGAAAATGATGCGATAAAAAAATTGCTCTCCTAGCTGCAGAGGTGAGGAGCAAAGGAGCAGAAGGTGCTGACCACCGTTGCGCACAGTGCACTTGTCCTGGGGCACGTGCATTAAGCGTGATTTTGCCCGATGGCATCTGTCGCAAGGTCATGTTCGTCTGCTGACCTTCCCTTGGGGGCACAGGAGGGGGGATCCCCGCTTCTGTGCAGTTCTACAGGTGTGTGTCTTTGTGTGCATATTCAACACTAATTAAACCAGGCATAGGGCTGGTATGGGCCATAAATCATCACTAATAAAGCCCGCTATCTGGCTTTTCTGCCGGGGCAAAATGACAGTCTGGCATAGCCGGTGGGAAAGCGGACGGCCACACCTGCTCAAGGTGCGGCTTTGCCGTTTGCTGTTGACAGTAATCCAGGGTCTATAAATAGCCTGAAACAGGATTTTGCTAATATTTCTACAAATTAATAACTTGAAGATACCAGGCTCCTATGCTGTCTTCTGTAGACCATGGTCCATCCCCTTGCTGCTGTTGCAAAGGCAGCGTGGACAGGGTCAGTGCTGTTCCTGTTGGGAGGTTTGATGTGACGGTGACGGGCCACAGGTGAGTTTGTCCAAGTGCTCACACTCCTGTTCGTGGACAGGAGCCTGCAAGCCTGCCCACGGTCAGCGGGGCAGCGCCATAGGGGCCTGCGGGAGAAGGTCCCTAAGCAGGGGAAGGACAGCGGTAGGAATTGCAGGACAAAATGAAGCGCCGGTACCTTAGTGACCATTTCTCATCATCCCCAGGGTTCCTGGTGTCTGCCTACTTCTTCCCCTTGAGATCCCAGATTACATACACAACCAAAACGATGTCTCTGATCTTCCCATTCGGCCCCAAAGGGGGAAGCAGAAATGCATTCACAGGTGCCGATGTTGGTGCACCCCTGCGGAAAGCTGGGGCGGCCGCCGCGGGTCTGTCCTGCGGTGCAGAAAAATCCAGAAAGCAGAGGTGGGAACCAGCCCCTCTGTGCTGTGTGGGCAAGAGGGCAGCAGGCCTCTTGGGGAGGCGGTGGCAGTAGTACGGAGAGGAGGAACCCCTCTAGGAGCGCGTTTTCACAGCGATCCCTCCCTGGAAGAGCAGAGCTGTAAGGTGCATGAGGTCCGTTTGACGGTGCTGGCATCACGCGCTTCGGGCCATATCTGCTCGGAGGTGTTTAGGCAGCACACTTACCAATGAAAACTTAAGTATTACACTAATACCTAACATAAAGATAAAATCAAATTGCTTTCAAGACATAATAGGCTATTTTGTTAATTGAACTATACACACAGCTTCAATTTGAATGGAAATGATCAGTCATGATTGTCCACACTAAATAGTCATTTGCCTTTACACCCTCTTTTCAGTGGCATCCTTAAAACAGAATGACGTCTTTTGGTGCATTTTCAATGGGTCTTTCCTGTTCTTTCCTCTTAGAATAACTTGCATGGTCATAGAAATATATGATGATAATAGAAGCAACGTTCAGAAGAATGGTGGGCAGCATGATCCAATACGAATATCCGTAAGTGTGTTTAGAGTCGGTATGTCTCTGCAGAAAAGAAAAACATCCTTGGGCCAATTGTACAGACAGGCCGTTTCCTGCTGTGTTCACAGGAAAAAGTATCATGGCTATAAGTATGAAGATTCCTAGAAAATATAAATACAAATGTTAGAGGTGGAACTGTAGTATTATTTACGCAGCTACTTCTAAATAGTCTACTTAAATTGGTTAGAATACATGGACTAGGACAAAGTTTAATCTGTTACTTTCCATTAGTAAAATATGAGGGCATTTAAAGAATTTTTGTCTCACCTAATAGTATCTGCCAGGTGTTTTGATGCTGGTAACTATATCTTCTGTTAAAATTAATGCATTCTTACTGACTGTTCTTAGGTAAGGCCACTTAAAGTATTTTTTTTTCATTGAATTTAGCACTGATGAGTATAATATATTCACCCCTTGGGTGATTTGCAGAATGCCTATTTGATACGAGCCCAAATTCATGGGATGTGCAGTATCACAACTGGATAAAACCCTGAGCAACCTGGTCTGTGTCCAGGGTTGGCTCAGCTTTGCTCAAGAGCTTAGACTTAGAGACCTGGTGTTCTTTCCAACCCAAATTATTCAATGACTCTGCGATGAGCCAAAATGAGACTTCTTATTAGAACTGTATCTATTTGCTGTAGCCTTCTAAAGATAAGCTGAGTCTGATTACTTTGACATTTAGCTAAATAATGCTTTTACATCTCCGCTTTCATAGCGCTAACAGAGGTATAATCTCTGAACATTGGTGAAAATATTTCTATTCCTTCCCTCTAGATACACCATCCTACGACCATCCCTCTGAAACAGGTTCAGGCTTTTGCAGGACGACATCGGACTTTCAGGTCATCTGGTAGGAGAATTAGGAACCTTCAAGATACACACACACATATATCAAATGATGCATGATTTTTCATAAAAATATGGCCACGGCAAAATAGATTTCCAGGTCATAGCACTTACAGGGCTGTAAAAAGTAACCACAATCCTCAGTCAACATGGGGGTTTACTTTCTTACTAATATTTATTTTGGCAAGCCCATGGTCCTTTCATTTCAGGTCACGGATTACAGATTCAGGCTGCATAACGGGTGCTGAGCTTGGGAAATGAAATTTCTCATGCAATAAGACAATGATCTGGTTGTCTTTAAAGTTGAATAATTGTCTAACCTAGGCTTTTGCTCACTTTTCTCATTGTGTTTCAAGGCATCCACAGCTGTTTCAGCATCTGTCTTTATAGGCTGTTAGCCACAGCTGGAGAAAAAGGGGTGCGTTTCGCAACCCCACCTGTACTTGCTATGATTAAAAAACTATGTTTATCTATACAATTCCGTTTCCATTAAGGTCTGATTTTGGCAAAGGCAGCTCATAGAGTGTGGTCCCAGGACAAGACCCTGCTCAAGGGAAGGCAAGCTCCCACTCCGCGAGCGGAGCATCTTCGGACCTGAAGAGCTTTTGAAGGACAAAACGCCAATGCTGAAGTACTCTGTAATCAGATGTCTTTGAAAAAAATTTTCCAAGTGCAAACCTAGTATTAGAGGAATGCGTAATCCTCTTGAGACAAATTGAGTGTGAGAGCTGAAGTCATTATCATAGCAAGATGAAGAGGGTATCAAGGTGCAGTAGGAGCAGCCAGGCTCAAGCTTACTGGGTGAATGAGGGGTTACACCTCCAGGGAGCTGTTTGACAGAGATTGCATCTCTAACAACTCCGTGTCTCTACCCTTTTTTTCTGCTTAGGCAATGTTAAAACTTATTTTGATGTGTGAAAGTGCTTTTCAGAGAAGGAAATAAATTTTGCCATGACTCAGTCCTCCTAACTGCTGTCCCCCCCACGTTAACGTTGTTGTGGATGTATTCAATTCAACACATTTTTCAGAAATGAAGCTAGAGCCCATCCTGTAGATTAGACCTTAGAGGCCTAATTTGGTATGTAGGTAAGCTGGCAACAAATATGCTACAAATACCATAAAATAGTGACATAAGGTCTTAAAGAGGTTACAAATTGCACTGTAGTCACATCCAGTGCATACTTTTCTATTACGGTTTCATTCTGTGTTTGTCAGCTTACTCTGTTCTTCTTGATGTGCATCATGCATGAAATGATGCTACACCTGTTGGGGCTCTTTCATTTCCATTTTTGCTGCCAGTGAATCCAGACTCCTACCAATTGATGGTGCCACTTCAAGTAAAAAATACTATTTTACTGGTACTTAAAAGATAGTTTTTTGGGTATCACAGTAGACACGATTAAAACCCCAAACCAACTGAACAGAATACTTTTCCAAGTGTTTCCTTCTACAGATATATATTTCTTAATCTTGGAATCAATGAGAATACAGTATTCATCCACATGGTGGGCAGAAAGTGGTCAGCACGGGATGCGTTACTCACCGCATAAGGAATTCCAGGTATAGACTCCGGTGGGTCCCAGAAATGTCTGGTAGGGATTACTAACAGCGTTAGTGCAAGTAAATCCAGAACTCAGAAGGGAACTCAGTAAACTGAGAACCAGAATGACAATAATTGCAGTGATCATGCTTTTCGCTTTGGTGTTTCTCAGGTTATCTGCAACTGAAATACAGAGGCTCAGCATTGATAATCAGCCTTCCCAGCACAGCCCGGTGGGCTCGGACGACCTTATTCACTTACTGACATGGTTGTAATTAGAAGCTAATAACCAGATATTTGGCTGATCCATAAGGATCCGGATGTAGAAGGAACAGGAGGTTTGGACACAGCACATGGACCCAAATCCAAAATGGGATGAAGGTACGTTATCCTGAAATAAGTGCATGTCTGCTAATCCTGCAGGCACACAAACTTCTCGGGCATCAGCTGGGGTAGCAAACTTCTCTTCCTTAATATTTCTGTAAATACTTCCTCTTGACAAGGCCAGACAGAAATTTTATGCCTAAATCAGATCAGAAAACTAGGTGTTCCTCTGCCCATCATTCCTGAGATGTCTGGGAACTTCTACAGATGCCCAATCTAAAACTTGGTTCCAGTTGTAGGTTATTTCCTTTTAATATAGCAGCAGTCCCCCTCATATGGAATAAATCTGACAAGGGGAACAGCTTCTAAAAGTCCAGTAAAGCCCTTAGCCTGGAAGGGTCAGGTGCATTTGTAGGCCAAATGTAACTGAGCGTGGTCATTCATGGACAGATGAGGCACGGCTGAGCTGCTGTTCGTATCCTGACTACATCTGTCTCCACATCTTGCAGGGAAAAAAAAAAAAAAGAAAAAAAGGTGGAGGCAATACTTGCTGCCTTCTTTTAAAAGAAAGGAGCAACTCCTGCTTTGTTTTCACCGGGAGGACCGGGCGCATGGAGTGCTGTGGCTCCCAAGGGGCTGCGCTTCACGCCCATGGCTGGTGGCCCTGGGCTCGGCAAGGGGACGAATATGGGCTCCTGAGCTGCGGGCTCAGCCCTGCCCGTGGGCTCCTGCTCTCAAGGTCTCTGGTCCTGTGGCCACGTGTCCAAGGAGTCGTGCATCTTAACATCGAGCATCCTGGCACCTCTCCTTTTTCACAGAATCACGGAACGCTTTGGGTGGGAAGGGCCCTTCAGAGCCCACCCAGCCCAGCCCCTGCAGTGCCCCGGACAGCTTTAACCAGCCCAGGGTGCTCAGAGCCCCGTCCAGCCTGGCCTGGGATGGTTCTGGGGATGGGGCCTCCACCGCCTCTCTGGGCAACCCCTTCCAGTGCCTCACCGCCCTCACTGTAAAACATTTCTTCCTTATATCCAGCCTAAACCTATTCTTCTGTAGTTTAAATCCATTATTCCTTGTCCTGTCACAACAGGCCTTGCTCCAGCTTACTACGGTTGATACACATAGATTGCTGCCTGGTGTAGTTTCCGTAGCTAGATGCATGGCTGGCCATATATACATGCCACATATAGTCAACCCCTCCAGGACTGTAATCAATTTTACTGTTTTTGCCTAAACCCTTCTAGTTATTTGATATGTTGCTGATAATAAGAGGCACAAATGTGAATGCAATATACCCAAAGTGTAATTGCAGTACAGCTGTGTTGAAATGTATTATTTTCCTCCTTTCAATTTAAAGATTGAAAAGGCAGCCATAATGTGCCTGTGGCTGGCTTACCCTATAACAAATACAACAACCTTACCCTATAACAAATACAACAACAATGTTTTCAAGCTCTGTTCAAATGGGTGTTGTGATAGACAGCCATCTGTAGGAAAATGCCCTTTCTATGCCACTTTTAATACAAAGCCATTACTGCAAAGTATTCAGTTTAGGGCATAAATTGGAGAAATCATAGCAGAAAAATAGTAAAAACCCCATGAAAAGAAAATAAACACTCGTAACAAAAAGAAGAGCTATTGGAAATAAATGAAGAGGAGAGCTTCTCTCTCATTTTATATAATATTCCTGGTAGAAGTTAATTTCTGTTTGAGGAAATGGTAGGTAAGCGTGTGTTATGGAAATCAGTTGCAAATTTAAGCAATTCTCCTAGAAGAATAGGAGAGAGGCATTCAGGAGACATCACCCCATTAAATGGAAGTGAGCACACCACCGGCTGCACCATGCACCCGTGCCGAAGCAGCCTTACTGCTTGGGCATCGCCTAGTTCAAGAAATAAGTCTGGAGCCAAATCAGTCAGGTTTGTGTAATTTCCCTCTGTCAGCCTCACTTAATTTTATCACTCAGACCATCTCCAGAATTGACGGGCTACACCTATTGCACCCCCTAATTGATCTTGTTTACCTCTGACAGTGATCTGCAGTTTAGGGGATTTAATTTTGTCAGACTCCGCCTGTTGTAAGCACGCCTGCAACAACACAAGGCTAAAGGTTTTAAATAAAATGCTGGGTTTGTGGCGGCAGATTTCTTTTTTCTAAATAAAGTAGTCTGTGCAAACTGAAGAAATCTACAGTAGCTGATCTCCTTGAATGGGATTGATAGTAACCCACAACTGGATAACCTCTGCATCAGTGTAAAATAACCTAATTCCAGGACAAAAGCAGAGGTGTTTGCCTTCGCCAGGTCTCTCCTTAATTTCCTATATCTTCTTTTTTTTTTCATCTTTAACTCTCATATGGTTGGATAGAATTTCCCAAACTTTTACTGACCTGAGAGTGAATGACATCCAGCTGCCAGCCTGGAGGTCTTTCCTAAGCAGTGTTGATCTGGCAGGTTTCATGAGGTCTATGATCACTTACGACACATAATGAATTGTTCATTTAAATAAAATGGAAAAAAGCAAAACCCAAGTAGAGTAAGTAGAGTTCAACCTAGCTTTCTACTTTTCAGGAGATCTCATAGCATGCCTGGAAACTGATGATAATGTTAATGAAGTTCCAGCAATTTTCAAGCATTTGTCACGTATTTTAAAAATTAGAAAGTTAATCGATTCTTCTCTGCTATGGCAAATTTCAAAGACTTCCTTGAGTGCTGTTGGCCTTGCTGGTTGTCAACAGTCAGAGAAGTCCTGACTTTGCAGGACTCTCTGGGCACGCTTCTTCCTGCACCTTCCCCACAATTTTTCCATGTTTGATTTGGAAACAAGTAAGGCTGTAAACAAGCTCTTTTATGGACTATTATATTCATAGATGGTTCCTTTCTAAGACAACTCATTAAAAAAGCCAACGAAGACTCTAAGGACGTAAGTTATTTAATAACTTTTACATTCTGCCAGATCATTCTGCTCATTCCCAGAGCCTCCGAAGTGGCCGTATTGATTTATTGCTCTATTAAGGTCATTCATGGCAGCCTGTTAAAAAGGCTACCCTGACCAGGCAGTTCATGCACTGTATGCTTACAGAAACCGTATTCCTTTGCTTGCCTTTCATCTTTACGCTGGGAAATTTCTTTTAATGTTGTAGTTTCCAAAACAGTAAGTTATGGCCTTTGTAAAGGCCGTTGATAATCTGCTTTTGCATGGCCATTAATAAAATCCAATCTGGGCTATTGCTAACAAGTGCTCTGTATCACCAAGCTATCATCTTATGATTTACTCTTTCATGATTTCCATTCTTTTCTCACACCCAATGAGAAACACGCTCAGGGTGCACAGCAGAGACCCCCCCAACCAGGCCACACTTGCTGAGTGACAGATCACACTGTGATTTAAAAGGATGCTTATAACTCTTCTTGCTGTTGTCTGAAATGTTAGAGGGGAGAAAGCACAGCACTTCATTTCTCCATAGCACAGGCGATCCATTTACTTAAGGATATCATCAAACGAAAGACACCTACTGTCTTAGGAGGATGCGATTATTTGAATTTAAAAATAGTACGTATGCAATTCTGTGAAGTATTTCTTCTATTTCAAGAATGTACAGAATCATGCTTAATATAAAATGTGACAATCATGCCTAGCATAAAGCCTAAGAATTAATTTAAAATCAGTTCATTTCATCTTGGATATATGCCCAACTGAACTTAGTAAAGGATGTGGGTAAATCCATATTTAGACTATTCATAAAGCACAACTTACTTTCAGCAGCTGTTGAAGGCAACTAGCAACTCCTGAAGCTCACTCATTTCGTTCCTCCCTAAATGGCTTAAATGTGAGAACTGAGATGACATGTTGTAAATGATAAGCACAAACCCCTAAATTTGGTGGGGGGAAACCACCACCAACCACAAAATGCATGTAGACCATGCGAAGAACTGAAATCCTTTACAGACGCAAGTGTTCTGCGAGCGCTTGACATTAATTGTAATTAGAATCTACATGTCAGTGGCACCCAGGCTGTGGGATGGGGCTGTGTTAGCTGCTGTGCAGACGAAGGCAAGGCACATGCCCAAATTCCTGCCAGACTGCATCCTCGCCCTGCAATCAGCTCTCCACGGGTGGACTCCTGGTTTCACGTGGAGCCCTATTAAAATCAGCAAGTCTGCCCACGTGGCTGAAGGTTTGGGGCTTGAGCCAACTGGCACGGGGAGATAGAATCATATATAAACTATTTTTATAAATGTGTATTTACTCCTGTAAAAATTACTTTGATTATTCTGATATGACTGTAAATAAACTGGTTTGAATAAGTTGTGACTTTGCTATGTAACGATCTCAATATGTGCTTTGATAGGAACACTGCTGTGTTCAGGTTTTTCATGCCAATATAACTGTTATGACATGAACTGGCTTGTGTGGCATAGCTTTGCCACTGTGCTAATTTGGGTGCCTGTTTGTACAGATACAATTTCTGTACTAAAATAAGGTGGGAAAGGGCTAGGAGATGGGAACCATCTGGAGGCTTAGGTCTGCTGTGCTCTACCTTGGTGGCTTCTCTGTGATGGGACATCTTACAACAGCCTACCGAAAAAGAAAAAAAGTCTTAAAGTACATCTCATGTTTCAAAATTGTTTGACCTACTCTTCCAAATTTTGGTTAGGTTTCTTTTGACTGGCTTGCTTCATTTTCACATGTGTATATCAGCATTATTGCTTTGAACTCGCTGAGAGCACAATACATAAAATCAGTGCAAATCCTTGATCCTTGCACCAGCTTTCAGGCTTATCTACCTTCGGCCTTTGAGAATGCTTTTCTTCACATCAGTAGAGCTACTTGTGGATAGAGTTAAGTAAA